TATCTGTTCAGAAACTGGATAAAAGTTAAACATGTACAAACCACAGACTGTCTATCAGGGCTTCTCAAACTCCGGACCAAGGTCCGAATCCGGACCGAACTGCAAATCAACCCATTATTTAAAAAAAATAAATAAATAAATATGATTCTGATGTAAATTAAAGTGAACCTATTATGCTATATTGGAAACATATATTGTAGGGCCATACCTATACAAAACATGTCTGTGAAGGTTTTTGCTTAAAATACCAAACAGATCACCCATTGTAGCCATGCCTCATACTGCTCATACCCCTCTTTTGCAGCCCTGTTAGAGAAACGTGGATTTTGGGTCCTTAGCTTTAAAAAAATAAAAAGAGGAGGCGGAGCAAATGCCTGATCAGAATTCTACCCGGGATAAAGTTAAATTCTGCTGTGATAAAACGCCATCCTGTTCTAAACCACATTAAAGATTATTTCTGAAACAGTATGGAGCTCAAATGCTTTTTCTCTTGCAGGTTTATCACAAGATGAGTTCCTTTTTTATTTCCTGCTTTTTAAACACATGTGCTCTCCAGTACAGGCTAGCTCTGAGTTTTAGCGAGGCTTGCTAATGTAAACAAAGACGAGATTACGTCCAAAACATGTCAGGCATTGTTTCTGATAGCAATTTTCTGTGGGTCTGCTGCCAATTTGACGTCAGATCGGCAGCAAATCTGTACCCGCTCGTTGTACACCTCTTTTTAAAAGATTTGGGTACGGAGGAAAAGAGAGAGGGTTTTATTTTCTGACGCTGCGTGAGTTCCCTGACGCACCGGGGACACATCTTTATGTATAAAAGACATCACAAAGTGCATTTTGCATGATAGGTCCCCTTTAATGTATATTTTCTTGTGTCTGATGTGTTGTGAGAATTAACGTGCATATATATTTACTTGTGTGCGCGACACGCATTGCAGACCGCAAGTTAACCGCAAGTTTACCTTGAGGTTCAAGGCATTGGCTACAGACAAACAGTACCATTTCTCCCACTATTTCAAGCCATCATACTGTATGTATTGAATGTGTGTGTGTATACAGGGGCACAGTTTACCGACAAGCAAGTGCTTGGACCAGAAGGGGGCCCCCAAATAAAGTAGATTAATCCAATCCAACTTTATTTATATAGCACTTTAAAACCTCCAGACCAAAGTGCTGTACAGAGAGATACATAAAATATAAAATCACACAGTTCAGCTCACAAAACATAAAATAAATAAATAAATACATTTAAAATAAAAGATACAAACACAAAACAAACCAGAATAAACGTAACAATTTCAAAATAAAAATAAAAAAGATTAAGAAGGTCCACAGCAACGACAACATGAAACACCCTTTAATTTACTCCAACGACATGTTGGGAAACCCCCTCAAGGGGGCCCCATGCGAGCCGAAACTTCGTTGCTCGGCGGGGGGGGGACTTTACTGGCATTGATCCGGACCATTGACCTTGTATAAAATTCACAAGTGGACCTTTAACAAAAAGGTTTGAGTACCCCTGCAGTAAAGCAATTCATGTTTGCAAGCGCACTCCCTCACAACAGTTGAAATGCTACCACCATCACTTTCTCTTGCTGGCTCCTGCACATCTCTGCAAACTCCCACATGCTTTATCTCTTCCCTCCTGAGTATCGCTCAAATGCAAACAGCTCTGTCTAATATACGTGCCGGTTCTTCAAAAGTACAGTACACAAGCTCACATATACAGTATATACCCTCGGGCTCACACATAGTTCACGTGTGGCTGTTCTCTCCCTCCCACACATATTTACTTTCAGATTGTTGTTATGTAGGTCTAATAATGTGTCAAACTAAGGTAGCAAATATTGTATTCAAGTAATGAATGTAATGTGAAGCAACATTTCCATAGATATTGTTTCTCTTCAAATTGACAGTATAATGTTTCAATATGTAGGCATCTGAATCATTGTCTGGACTCATCCATGCAGACCTAACCCATGCGCATTACTCTCAAATATTTATGACTTTGAGGCAGAGCTATTTGTCACTGTGTGCAGTTTCTTTATCTCTCCTTTACTTTCTCTGTATTGTTGCTGAACCCCTACCCCCAGACTTGCTTTTAACCCGCGGCTGTGAGGCCTTTAGGAGGACCAGCACTGAATATAAAGACCAAACAGTGAATCCTTTAATTATTTACCGAGGCCACATGGATCAGGTTCTGCGCCTCCTCTCTCCTTCACAGTAACTTTAATGCCACAGGCATACTTTTGCCCGTGTGTGCATTTATTGTCGAATTGGTTCTCTATGAGTTTGACTTATGATGAAGTGTTGTATACATTCATGAGGTGATATTTCACATTATACTCGTACCTATAGCATTAAATTGCATTTCTAGGAGTAAGGTGGGTCCTTTAGTTATTTAAACATTTGAAAGTCATGCGATCTAAAAAGCCAGACTAGATTACAGTTAGGGACTGTAGCCTGTTTGATGAGTGTTTTTGTGTTTACTTGTTTTCATCGTGTAATGTGCTCTGAGCAGTATTACTCAGTGTTTTCCTCACACCACTGATGTGTTTTTATGTGGGCGCTTTGAACCTGGTAAATCATCTGACTACACAAGGTCATGCAACACTACACTTTAATTACAGCTTTGTTATTGGAGTACCAGGGATCTGATGCTACGATGTTAATGCAATGGCCATTACATTGTGCATGCTTGTGCTTTTTCACTATTTCTGATATCATTTGTCTATTAGATCTTTCAGAGAATGTCAGCATGGTTTTGGACGTTACTCAACCACACATGGGTGCACACGAGATGCACTGTCAGCGTTTTATTATCACCGTTGCAGGAGATACATTGTGTTTATAACACTGACCTGAGCTTCATCTTTCAGCCTTTTGCTTAGCTGTTTAAACCCTAAATCTCTGGGCTGCTATTCTCAGACTGTAAAAACTGCTGAGTTAATAATTCACTGTCATCCTACAATTCCTTGTGAGAGGGCAGGTGGGGGGGTCTGCCCGCCCCGTAGGAAGTCATGCCAGTCTTTGTGAAGCTCACAGATTCATATTCAGTCATGCAGCAACTTTTACTGTGGAGATGAGGATAGTTAGGATGGTAACACTAACCTGCAGTCCCGTTTAGAGGCACACATTTTCAAACAGCCGATAAATTAAATGTTAGTTTGTACAGGAATTCATGCATAGCCGCAAACTGCTGAATTTAGCCTTGCTCATACAAACTGTCTCTGCAGAGATTACAGTCTGTGTTGCCATTGGTACCATTTTATCCAAATGCAGCTTCGTGTGTAAAAGCGAATTGTTTATGACTTAGGCCCATTTCTGTTTTGGTGCGGGCACGACAAGCGTTATGGTTTTGTGTGTTGTCGTCTGTATTTACTCTGTTGTCCAGTATTTGTTGTTTTCAGCCCACAAAACGAACCATTTAAATTTTTTTAAATTTAAAAAAAAAGTATTTTCGTGTTTTTATGTAGCATTTGTAGCTTTTAGCAGTCTTCAGATCTGGTCCCAGCATTACCCAGACTAACACACTGCAGACTTAGACACATGAAATAAAATCTGACTAATTTTGTCACTGATCTTAATTGGCAAACAAAAAGAAGTATATAAAAGTTGTGTAGCTATAAAACGGAAATATTGGAAAACACCTCTGACACAGGGTTGCCTGCTTTTCACCTACCAGAACCTTTTTACTGTCCAATAAGGAGTTAAAACCAAAATTAGGATCGGAAAACGGCAACAAGAGTAGGAGTCAAGACATTTTAAAAGTGTTCCTGTTTTCATTCTGACAGATTGTTACCTGGACTCTTCTGCTGGAGCACTGCATTAATATGTCAAAGCTTGATTTATTGAAGTCTTGACTTTGTATTATTAATGTGAAGGATTGAGAATTTGTTAACATTACTAGCACTTGCATCAAAACTCTGTATGGCAAGCTGGGGCTGCGTGTCCAGGGCAAAGGAAATGATTGATGGTGAAACACAAATCCACTGCTGAGCACAACAGGAGTTAGACTTCAAACATACAGAACTGTTCCTCAAATCGTTCTTTTGCACGGAAACAAAAAAGTGTGTTTTTGAATGCCATCCTGAGGCACAGGCCAAAATAAGTACAAGCCTGTTGCCGTGTAGGTTAGATGCCAGCTGTGGTTTGGGTTACGGTGTCTACAGACAGGCAACATGAAGTAGAAAAAACAATGCCAGCCACTCTCATTATATAAAGTTGCATTTATTTTTGGTGAGACGGCTGTGCAGCTTAACCTTTTAATTTGTATCCGGTGCCATATTGTGAAGCAGCATTGCCATAAAGAAATGGTGCCACATGAATTCCAGTTTTGGTCACAATAAAGCCTGTTATTATTGTCTTACTGTTTCTGGTGATACTCACTGCTTTTGTGTCTGAAACACTTAACCCAGATTAGAGCAGCTCTTAAATTAGTGCGAGAGGACATAAAAAGAAGCAGGTCTTGGCTAAGCGCTGAAGAGAGTCTTCTGTCGGAGATCCTGTGCTCTGATACGAGCTGCTCCAAGCACAGCGCTGCCTGACTGATGTCAAACAGAGACAAGGTTGACCCTGAGTCCTGACACAGTTGTTAAAATTAAACGTCAGTGTGTCCCTTAGGTTTTCTTCCAGCGGAGGAGGTACCTTTTCAAGCTGCCAGAAGATATTTTAGCAGATATCCTGACATGAGAAGAGCTTTGGACAAATATTTGCACACAGATGTAGATGTCCAATTGAAATGAAATGCTTCCAGACTTCTTCTTCCTCTCTCCTGTCCTGTTACTCTGCCCAATTCGTCTTTGTCCTGTTCTCCTTCTCTTTCCATACTTTCCTGTCTAGCTTGCGATATCTGTCGTCCTGTCTAATAATGAAAAACATGGAATAAAGGTACTCGATTAAGCAATGTAAAAGAATGGATGATTTTAAAACACTCACACTAGGCAGTACATTTCAAATTCAGGAGACAAAATACCAAGTACCAACTTTAACATGACCATCATAAGCCCTAATATGTGGTTTGGATACTAAAAAAGGTTGACTTCTTTGTTAGTTCCTGCATTGGCTTTGGTTATATTCTAAAATGTTTCATGATTACTACTTTTCTGCTCTAACATCACCGTTTTTGTTAACGTCTTCTCTTTGACGACAGTTACTTTAATAAAGCAGCCTTTCATTGTGACTGCACTTACAGTGAACGGTCAAACTAACCCCTTTTTCTCTTGCCCCCTTTTTTAGGTGACATCCATGGGCAATACACAGACCTACTGAGGCTGTTTGAGTATGGGGGTTTCCCTCCAGAGGCCAACTACCTTTTCCTGGGTGACTACGTGGACAGAGGGAAGCAGTCTCTGGAAACCATCTGCCTTCTGCTGGCCTACAAGATCAAATACCCAGAGAACTTCTTCCTGCTCAGGGGCAACCACGAGTGCGCTTCCATCAACCGCATCTACGGCTTCTACGATGAGTGTACGTTCAATTAAACCCACCTTGAATACTGTACCCAAAGTTTGCCTTGATGCACATATGTAGCTTGATTTTAATAGATTGTTTGCATATGTGTTCCTGCAGGCAAGCGTAGGTTCAACATTAAGTTGTGGAAGACCTTCACCGACTGCTTTAACTGCCTCCCTATCGCTGCTATCATTGATGAGAAGATCTTCTGTTGCCATGGAGGTACAGCAACTGTTCGCATTCGTTTTTTATCGCCTTGTCCCAAATTGGTCGTTTTTTTTTCTTCCTGATTGAGATATAATTGTACTTGAAATATAGCTTTACATTTGACATAACTTTTTAGGGCTATCGCCTGATTTGCAGTCAATGGAGCAGATTCGCAGGATCATGAGGCCAACAGACGTGCCTGATACAGGTGTGTGTGTGTGTGTGTGTGTGTGTGTGTGTGTGTGTGTGTGTGTGTGTGTGTGTGTGTGTGTGTGTGTGTGTGTGTGTGTGTGTGTGTGTGTGTGTGTGTCATAAAGGTCCCAGCACCGGGCCAAGTCCCCTTGAACGACCTGGTGTAGAACGAGGCTTCCCACTCTCCTCTGGGGCGCCAGCAAGAAGGGTCGGGAACATGGTAGGAATAGACCGCAGGCTGGGTGTTCTCAGGTGTGTCATCCGGACTCCCTGGTGGTGGTACTCTCCCTTTCTATCTCTGTATTAAGATACCATTCTCAGCTTTCCTCCTCCTTCTTTCACCGAAATCTGTAGGCTGACTACGTCGGCTGTCTTTATAGATGACTCACACTGTCCTGTAATTAAGTTATTTTGCATATGGCTATACTGTGTGTGTGTGTGTGTGTGTGTGTGTGTGTGGATGTTGGTGTGTGTGTGTGTTGTGTGT